GTGCGTAAAGTGACCTGGATGTCCTCGATCATCAAAAAAAATTTATAGACTAACTTCATGGAATGATTCCAAAAGGCCTTAATTTGTTAGAGAAGAAAAAGAAATTCAAAAACATCAAACATTATAAGGTCATATATATAATACTTTCATAAAATATTTATTATTATTGATAAATGTTAAAAGACAAAATTTTAATCAAACTTTTTTCGCGCGAAAATCTTAGTTTTTATCTTATATGGTTTATCACATAAGTAATGTTATTCTGGCCTCAAACTTCCACATTTAAGAAGTTTTGAATTATATAAAACGTAAATGACTTAATATTTGTTCATCATATATAGCGTACTAATATTGGTTTGATGTTATAATCTAACCTTACTTGTAACTTAAGGGCCTGTTTGGTAAGTTATTTGAAAAAGTGTTATTCTAAAAAACTATCTGAATATGATAAGATAAGATTAAATCAAATAGGATTGAATTCTGAGAATGTGTTTGGTATAATATCTGAAAATTATATTAGAGTTTGATAAAAATTAGAATATTTTTTTGGTATATTTTTTGAAAACATTTTTAAAAAATATTTAGATTAATTATTAATCCCCTATATTTATTAATTTTGCTAAATACCCCCCCACAATAAAGCCCACACACCTAAGCTATTGCCGGCAATTGGTCACCACCATCAGATGGCAATCAACAGTCGCCAGAATGACACATGACGACTGGATCTAGATTTTCGACCTCCAGCTGTTGATTGCGGCGACAATGGCTTGGGTGAGTGAGGGTATTTTTGTTAATTTATAAACGTTTATTGTGAAATGTAATTTTTTTTAATTGAATAGAGTTTAAAATATATTGAAATAAGATAATAGAAAACAAGTCTTACCCACTTTTCATTTTCAATAGAAAAAATCTTATTTAATTCAGATTGATTTTCAAAATAATAATCAAAATAAGTAAACAAACACATATTCAATTTTTTAATCTGAATAGGATAACAGGAAAATGATTACAAATGATGAAACAAACAAGGGCTAATAGTTCTTATCGCTAGTAAACTATAACAAGCAAGTTCCCAAGATGTAAATAACCCAAGATTTATAATTTATTTCATCACTTAATTATCAACCAATCTAAAAAAAGGGATTTTTTTTTAATTTCTCCTTTTACATGGTCAATGGATTAATTACACTAACTTTATTAATATTACTGGATCAATTATATTATAAGATGGTTGATATTATCGTGTTTCCGAATATGATTATAATATGTTTACATGCACGTGGGGGAAAACCAAAAGTTGCAAGAAAAAGTCCAAAGAGCAGCACCGGCAGGACTTGGAAGTTGGAAGTAGTGCCGGCCGAAGAATGTGCACCACCCATCCGAGTGGTTGGTTTGGTTTGGTTTGGTCAACTTCTATTTTTTAAAGGGAGAACGACTTATACATACCTAATATTTGTCAAAACGATAAGTTGGTACCCAAAAGGTTTTGAAACGACAAATGGGTACCTTCCGTCATGTTCTGTTAGTGATTTTCGTTTGATAATAGTGAAAAGACTAAAATGCCCTTGAAAGTTTAATTTTTAGTTTTTTATAAATTTAAAAATTTCTAAAAACCCCCTAAGTTTGCTAATTTGACTAAATACCCCAATATAGAAAATTTTATAAAATAACAAAAACACCCCCCCACCCACAGTGCCAGATTCCGGCCACCACTGCCGGAATCTGGCCGGAAAATTGTGTTACGACACAGACCCGTCGGATCTGTGTCGTAACACACCGATGTGGCCTTTTCCGGCCAGATCTACGTCTGGCCTTTTTCGGCCTCGACGGCCAGATCTGGCTGGAAAATGCCAGATCGACGTGTTACGACACATATCCGATGGGTCTGTGTCGTAACACAATTTTCCGGCAAGTTCCCGGTCTCGACGGCCAGATCTGGCCGTAGATCTGGCCTTTTCCGGCCAGATCAGCCACAGATCTTGCCGGAAAATGAAAGATCTACGCGTTACGACACAGATCCGATGGGTCTGTGTCGTAACGCAATTTTCCGGCCAGATTTCGGCGGTGGTGGCCGGAATATGGCACTGGGGGATGGCGGGGGTGTATTTGATTTTATAAACTTTTTATATTGGGGTATTTAGTCAAATTAGCAAAAACTGGGGTTTTTTAGAAATTTTTAAATTTATAAAAAACTAAAATATTAAACTTTTAAGGGCATTTTAGTCTTTTCACTATTATCAAATGAAAATCACTAACAGAACATGACGGAGAAGTACTATTTATCGTTTCAAAACCTTTTAGGTATCAACTTGTCGTTTCGACAAACCTTGGGTATGCATAAGTGTTTGCCCTTTTTTAAAACATAAATTCAAACACAAGTAATATGGGCTGCTACTATTTCTTTTGTATTGTTTGATTGAGAGAAATCAATCATTCAAATTCAATTTTTTGTTGATAGTTTTTGTTCCTTCTAGATGCCATTGCATTTAATTGGGTGATTATTAATTAATTCATCCAACATTATGTAACACTATACAAGTACAATATTACAAATTTTACATCTTTTATTACAAATTTAACACTTATGAGCCGATAAACATTGTTCTGTAACAAAATCTTCTACATACGCTGGGCATGGCTGAAGAAGAATACTATTCATAAAATACCATCAATTGTTTTAAGATTAAGGCACTATCAATCATCAACCCATGTGCTTGACATTTTGAATAGTGAAATTAAATAATGTTTGAAGATCAACATTTTATTCATGTTATATAGTGACAAAATTAATTAATTTATGGACCTACAAGTAAGGGTGACCATGCTTTATGTTGTTGAAAATTAATTCTATCATATATTAAAAATTTACAAGTCTTGCCAATTTTAGAAAAAAAAATCTTATAGAAATACTTTTATGCTTAGAAACCTTTTTATGCCCTTTTGTATCTATATGTCGCTTTCTTTTAATTCATCATTTTTTTAAAAATATTCAATGGCCGGTTCCAACGTCACTTAATATAAGTCGGTTTAAAAAAAATTTATATTATATTAAATAAGCATGAAACTAATAAAAGAATCAATGAAAAAAAACAAAAAAAGACCTAATAGATATTTTTAAGAGTTAAAAAAAAAAATCCCTCAAATATGATATAATAAGAAAAATAACTTTAAAGGTTCCAAAATGACAAAAATTCCGCTTTGGTTATTAAAGTATTAGCAAGTCATTAGAATTTATACTGTTAAAAATTGATCAATATTACCAAATTATTCTCCAATCATTTAATGGCAGGGGATTTTTGTTACTTCCAAAATCTGAGGACATTTTGTTATTTTACCCGATCTCAGGGTATCTATAATTAACTATACTTTTAATTTGCACTATCACTTCCATAAAATGTCAATAAATTTACTAGAGAATATTAAACTTCATTGAAAATAAATGGTAAAAGAGTTTGAAAATAATTTACTAAAGTAATATTTTTAAATTGTCAATCAAAATGGTCTTTCATTTATGTCAAAGCATAATCATTATCATCTTCAAAATTCCAAGTTTGGATACAGCAAATTCAAAAAAGCACCACTACAAATAAAATAAAATTTAATTGTCAAAGGTTCCAATATGGAAATTTCAATTAAAACTATTATATTTTATTGAATCTTCAACCTAAAAAATGTTATATATATATATATTTTATTTTTTTGATTTTTTTAATCATAAAGATTGAATACTTGTAAAAGTTGAAAAGGTGAATGGTTGACCACAAGTGGGTTTTTAAACTAATTAGAGAAATTTGAATAGCAGTAGAGCCATTTCAATTCAAACTGCAAACTCAAAAAATAAAATATATAATGTAAAGTCTTTTTATTTCAAACTACTAACGGTTTGATTTGTGGTACAATAATAATTTTAATAAATTTAACGGTGTTTGATATAGTAGTTAAAATCTATAGAGAATTGAGAAAACGACCATTTAAAATTGTATTCTAAAATCAGTACAGCTAAAAGCGTTTTCTTAATTTTTTTTGTATTTTTGTTTTCGAAAATGAAAAATAATATTAAATTTTGTACAAAATAAAAAATCTCTTCTGCAATTAAATAGTACTTCAAAGTAGTGTTTTAATAAACAATCTGGGGTGAAACCCGACAAAGTGGTCGGGTCCTAGGTTGACCGATTTAATCGGTTTGATCGGCAAGTCAAATCAGTATTAAAAAGTTTGAAATATAAAAAAAAAAACACCCCTACAAATTATTATAAATTCATACAGGTTTGAAATCTTGCAAGAACACCCTAAGCACCATCGTCGGCATTGACAAACCAAGGCAAATAGTGCATGTTTCCGACGAAGACAATACCCCCCTCAACCTGTTGATCAAAACCCATCTCACCCCTCCCTCGATTGCCTCGCCAATAGCCAACAACCTGCTATTACCACCAATTTAGTTTTACAATTTTCAATCAATTCACTCATCGAAAATCACCTTCGTTGTCACCATTGCGCTCACTGACCCTTCTCTTTAAAACCCTCAACATTTTAGCCTTCAATTATTCGTTGATCATCGTCCCAATTTCTAAAATTTTTGATGAATAGAAAAATTACTAACTCGACCCAATGAAAGCCTTAGGTCTCAATTCAACCAACCAAGTCAAGCCAGGTTTTAAAACATTGCTCCAAAGTACATTGGTATATTGCTTGTTTGATTACTCCATTAATATTGGTTTGGAGCTATGGTTAAAATTCTTTATGAAATACAATTATTTTGATTTGATTTTTTAATAAATTTGGTTGTCTTTAAGCTTTATTACATTAAATTGTAGAGTTTGAGAATAGAATTTGATTTAATTAGTGGAATCATATTTGGTTTTTTTTTTTTTTTTTTTTTTCTTTTGTTAATTAAGAGACTAATTTAATTAATAGTTTAATACTAAAATATATCATACACAAATAGGCAAATATTTAAGCTATAACAATTTCACTACTCATCATTAATACATACATATAATTGAAATTAAGCCAATTTCAATTTGTAAATTAAATGTCAATTGGGATTCCACGACATTCAATTTCATAATACAAGCCATAATGCTATCATAACTATACACAATATACTACTACTATTTCATTATTATTAATAACACTCCTTTAACTTCCACAAGCCATGCACTCTTCACGGTTTGTGAGAGAACAAACCACCTGTGCCATCTTTGTATCATCATCTTCTACCCCCACCTTAGGGTTTTCCTGCATCATCAACAGATTCTAAATCTACAACATGAAATACGTTAAACAGTGAAAATGATAGTGTTATCAATGCGGGATTGTTACCTTGAGCATGGAAGTATCAACGGTGAACTTGATAGCATCGGCTGCAGCACGTGAGCGAAGATAGTACATTCCAGTCTTCAAACCCTTTTGTGCAACAGAGAGGAATAATCAGAATGATTACATAACCGAAATTTGAGGAACAGAAAATAATGAGGGTGTAGAAGTTTATACCCTTGACCACGCATGGAAGTGTAGGGAAGTTAGCTTTGCAAAATTGGGCTGCTCCATATGTATGTTGAGGCTTTGACTCTGGTCTATGTAACAGCCTCGATCAACAGCCATATCAACCAACGTCCTCTGCTTGATCTCCCAAACATTCCTGAATTAAAGGAAGAAAGAATTTATACGTTTTAGTCTGGAGTCGAAATAGAGAAATCCTAGAGTGAGGAGGGCAGAGAAGTTGGGTTAGTACTTGTAAATCACTTTCAGTTCCTCGGGGATTTCTGGAATCTGCTGGACAGAACCGTCATCATATATTATCTGGTTCTTGATAACAGGAGACCAAAGACCCATCTCGGTTAAGTCATGAAGAAGATGTTTGTTCACTACCACAAATTCACCACTGAAAGGAAAGAAACAGTCAGGAAAAAGAAAGAACCAATTTAATGGAAGCAGCATAGAATGAGTTTGTGCCACAAACCTTAGGACTCTGCGACTGTAAATATTGGAAGTATATGGCTCGAAGCACTCATTATTTCCGAGAATCTGGCTTGTGGAGGCAGTCGGCATTGGAGCCACAAGAAGTGAATTTCTCACTCCATTCTTTGATATCATATCCCTAAGAGCTCCCCAGTCCCACCTATCTGAAGGAGTTACACCCCACATGTCAGGTTGGAGAATTCCCTGCACAATTAATTGGCCATTTTAGCAGCTGACAATTTGCACTAGTATTATAGAATCAGGAATTAATATTTCAGCCTAGTACTAGAATGCAGATCAATATTCAAAAAATTCCAGTAGATCTGCATACCTTGCTCACTGGACTACCCTGATATGTTTCATAGGGACCTTCTCTAGCAGCTATCTCACATGATGCTTTCAAAGCATGGTAGTAGATAGTCTCAAAGATGTCCTTGTTTAGTTGTTGCGCCTGAAATTTATATCAAATATGTTGTCAATCCTCAAGCAATCGAAATAAGAAGTTCAGGTAAAGTGGTATATGCAAGAGTTAACTTTACCTCTGGCGACTCAAATGACATTCCAAGCAAGATGAAGGTATCTGCAAGTCCCTGAACTCCAATACCAATGGGTCTATGTCGCATATTAGACCTTTTCGCAGATTCAACAGGGTAGTAATTAACATCAATAATTTTGTTAAGATTTTCAGTAACAACTGCAGTAACCTGTCCCAGAAGAAGAAAGACAGCAAAATCAGACAATCAAGTTTTGGAAATGAAAAACATTTGTCAGTAAAACAAGAACATGCATGTAAAAAGCAGAATTATGCTTAACTAGTCACAAGCATTTTACAAAACTCATACCTCTGCTAATTTTTCGAAGTCAAAGTATCTATTCTTTGAACCTCTGCTCCCAACTAGCTTAGATGGGTGTGACTCAATTGGAACACCCTACAATATTCATTAAAATATAATAATTAACATGAACAAACAAAATCAATACGAAAAGAAAAGCGACCTTGTAAATTCATGCTATCCACCTTTTCTCTGACATATCGTGGTAGAGCAATAGATGCCAGGTTGCACACAGCAGTCTCTGTTGGACTTGTGTACTCAATTATCTCAGTACACAAATTTGAAGATTTTATGGTACCCAGGTTCTGCTGGTTGCTTTTTCTGTTGCAAGTGTCCTGGAAGAAAATCGAATCAGAAAAGGGAATCCATATCATCACAGCAAAATCAAGAACATAAATAAATAGGAAAAAAAAAGGATAGAAATAGAAGAGAAAATTGAATATCTTATGTTACACACCTTAAAAAGCATATAGGGGGTCCCAGTTTCTATCTGGGATGTCAACACCTCACTCCAGAGGCTCCGAGCCTCAACAACTTTCTTTGCCTTCCCCTAAATATATGATAATAGCAAAAAGGCCAATCAGATTTCTGCAGTTAAAGAAACATATTATAAAAACATAAGACTTTGGACAAGAAGGTTGAATTAAAATTACCTCTCTTTCATAGTGGGTGTAAAGTCTCTCGAATTCCGGCCCCCAACAATCTGCTAGTCCTGGAGCCTCATTAGGACAAAATAATGACCATTGCCCATTAGTTTGGACTCTTTCCATAAAGAGATCTGGAACCCAAAGAGCATAAAATAAATCTCGAGCACGGTGCTCTTCCTGCAACAGACGGATAATTGATGTTAACATAACACACTCGGTACAGCATAATGATATAACACTCTTAAAAAAACCTTAAGTGCCAATAACAAATGAGGATATAGCAACCTAATAGCAAGACAACATTGCAAGTGACAGCCAAATTTTGTCACTATACCTTTCCATGGTTTTTCCGAAGCTCGAGAAACTCAAATATATCAGCATGCCATGGCTCCAAGTACACAGCAAAAGCACCTACAGGCATGACAAGTAATATTTTTAAGAAAATAATGTCAAATTTATTATGCAAATAAACAATGATGTGAGGACTTACCCTTTCTCTTGCCACCTCCTTGATCAACATAACGAGCAGTATCATTGAACACCCGCAGCATTGGGACAATACCATTAGATGTCCCATTTGTGCCACGAATATAGCTGCCTGTTGCACGAATATTATGAACTGAGACACCGATACCTCCAGCTGATTTGCTGATAACAGCACACTCCTTCAAAGTATCATATATTCCTTCAATACTATCATCTTTCATGCAAATCAAGAAGCAGCTGCTTAACTGTCAAAAAGCATCAAGGAAACCACATCAATATATGTTTAGCACAGAAATTGTAGGGAAAAGTCTGATTCATCATCTATGTTAATAAAGCATACCTGGGGCCTTGGTGTTCCAGCATTGAAAAGTGTGGGAGACGCATGGGTGAACCATCGTTGAGACATCAAATGGTATGTTTTGAGAACAGAATCAATATCATCTTTGTGAATTCCAACAGCAACCCTCATCAACATATGCTGAGGCCTTTCTACAACCGTCCCTTGGACCTTCAAGAGGTAGGACCTCTCAAGGGTTTTGAAGCCAAAGTAATCATAGTCAAAATCTCGATCATAGATTATCTCACTGTCCAAACGAGCAGCATTCTGCAACAAGAAAGTCAACTCAGTGAGTTTTAATTTTATGCAAACATTGTTCAGAGACAATTTTGAAAGAAACATTAAAAGAAAACAAAATCACAAGATTTCAGCATGGTATAACCAAATGCAGTGCATAATATTCAACAGGCAAAATATGAGTTTATTCTCATCAAAATGCAGTGCATAATTAACATGGTTAAAACATCTATAGAACAATAAACAATTGACAAAAATAAAATAAAATTATACCTGCATGATGATCTCATAAACATCATCAGCAATCAGAGGAGCCTTCAGTCCAGATCTCTCATTGAAATGGTAATACATGTCCTTGATCCTGCAATTACCAATCAACTAATAGGTATAAACAACCGTTTCACTTTAAGTTTAGCACTTCAATCAACAAACTCACTGATTAAGAACAAAAACAAGGAAGCGCTTACGTTTCCGAAAAGGATTTCTTAGTATTCTTGTGTAGATTCGAAACAACAATTCTCGCAGCCAACTGCATCAAACAAATTTTCACGCATAAATGAATCACACGGAAGGAGATCAAAATCAAACCTTTCTATCACCATTTTAAGCAAAGAACTCAACGTTCTAAACAACATCTAAAATTAAATAGACTCCCTCATTAGGAGGTGGAAAAAAACCCTCCAAAATTTTTAAAAAATAATCATAAATCTTCCTTAAAAAGCCTCGAAGACCTTCGTAAAATTCACAAAAGAAAATAATAAACAATATCTATCTCAAAAATAAAACTTAAACCCAGTACCAAACACTACTAATCAAGACCAAACAAACTAATTTAAAACCAAAACCAATTACAAAAACAAAGAAGGAATACTCACGCAAGCGTAATCAGGGTGGTTAGTAGTCATAGCAGCGGCGGTTTCCGCAGCCAACTCATCGAGTTGACTCGTGGTGACGCCCTTGTAGACGCCAGCACAGACCTTCTGGGAGACCAGCACCGGGTCACAGTGGTCGATACTCAGCCCATAACTGAGCTTCTTCAACCTCGCAGTAATCTTATCGAAATGCACCGTCTCTTGCCGCCCATCTCGTTTCACAACGTACATTTTCAGAGAGGAATTTTATCAAACAAGCGGTGGGTAGGTTGAGGAATGTGATAGAGAGGTAGAGAGACGAAGGCTCTTCTTAAATAGGAGAAATGTTTAGAGAGCTTTAAATTTTGAAAAGGGTATTAGGGTTTTGAATTTTATTTTTTTTTGTTTTTTTGTTTTTTGTTTTTTTTGGGTTTTGTTTTGTTTGTAAACGGTGAGTTTGTTTGATTTGGGGGGTTTTTTGATTTTTTTAAGGGATTTGAAATTTTCGCGCCAAATTTGTGGAGGGAGAGGACAGAGGAGCGTGTTTGCGAAGCTTTTTGTGTTTTATTGTGGCGGCCCCCACCTTAGGGTTTTCCTGCATCATCAACAGATTCTAAATCTACAACATGAAATACGTTAAACAGTGAAAATGATAGTGTTATCAATGCGGGATTGTTACCTTGAGCATGGAAGTATCAACGGTGAACTTGATAGCATCGGCTGCAGCACGTGAGCGAAGATAGTACATTCCAGTCTTCAAACCCTTTTGTGCAACAGAGAGGAATAATCAGAATGATTACATAACCGAAATTTGAGGAACAGAAAATAATGAGGGTGTAGAAGTTTATACCCTTGACCACGCATGGAAGTGTAGGGAAGTTAGCTTTGCAAAATTGGGCTGCTCCATATGTATGTTGAGGCTTTGACTCTGGTCTATGTAACAGCCTCGATCAACAGCCATATCAACCAACGTCCTCTGCTTGATCTCCCAAACATTCCTGAATTAAAGGAAGAAAGAATTTATACGTTTTAGTCTGGAGTCGAAATAGAGAAATCCTAGAGTGAGGAGGGCAGAGAAGTTGGGTTAGTACTTGTAAATCACTTTCAGTTCCTCGGGGATTTCTGGAATCTGCTGGACAGAACCGTCATCATATATTATCTGGTTCTTGATAACAGGAGACCAAAGACCCATCTCGGTTAAGTCATGAAGAAGATGTTTGTTCACTACCACAAATTCACCACTGAAAGGAAAGAAACAGTCAGGAAAAAGAAAGAACCAATTTAATGGAAGCAGCATAGAATGAGTTTGTGCCACAAACCTTAGGACTCTGCGACTGTAAATATTGGAAGTATATGGCTCGAAGCACTCATTATTTCCGAGAATCTGGCTTGTGGAGGCAGTCGGCATTGGAGCCACAAGAAGTGAATTTCTCACTCCATTCTTTGATATCATATCCCTAAGAGCTCCCCAGTCCCACCTATCTGAAGGAGTTACACCCCACATGTCAGGTTGGAGAATTCCCTGCACAATTAATTGGCCATTTTAGCAGCTGACAATTTGCACTAGTATTATAGAATCAGGAATTAATATTTCAGCCTAGTACTAGAATGCAGATCAATATTCAAAAAATTCCAGTAGATCTGCATACCTTGCTCACTGGACTACCCTGATATGTTTCATAGGGACCTTCTCTAGCAGCTATCTCACATGATGCTTTCAAAGCATGGTAGTAGATAGTCTCAAAGATGTCCTTGTTTAGTTGTTGCGCCTGAAATTTATATCAAATATGTTGTCAATCCTCAAGCAATCGAAATAAGAAGTTCAGGTAAAGTGGTATATGCAAGAGTTAACTTTACCTCTGGCGACTCAAATGACATTCCAAGCAAGATGAAGGTATCTGCAAGTCCCTGAACTCCAATACCAATGGGTCTATGTCGCATATTAGACCTTTTCGCAGATTCAACAGGGTAGTAATTAACATCAATAATTTTGTTAAGATTTTCAGTAACAACTGCAGTAACCTGTCCCAGAAGAAGAAAGACAGCAAAATCAGACAATCAAGTTTTGGAAATGAAAAACATTTGTCAGTAAAACAAGAACATGCATGTAAAAAGCAGAATTATGCTTAACTAGTCACAAGCATTTTACAAAACTCATACCTCTGCTAATTTTTCGAAGTCAAAGTATCTATTCTTTGAACCTCTGCTCCCAACTAGCTTAGATGGGTGTGACTCAATTGGAACACCCTACAATATTCATTAAAATATAATAATTAACATGAACAAACAAAATCAATACGAAAAGAAAAGCGACCTTGTAAATTCATGCTATCCACCTTTTCTCTGACATATCGTGGTAGAGCAATAGATGCCAGGTTGCACACAGCAGTCTCTGTTGGACTTGTGTACTCAATTATCTCAGTACACAAATTTGAAGATTTTATGGTACCCAGGTTCTGCTGGTTGCTTTTTCTGTTGCAAGTGTCCTGGAAGAAAATCGAATCAGAAAAGGGAATCCATATCATCACAGCAAAATCAAGAACATAAATAAATAGGAAAAAAAAAGGATAGAAATAGAAGAGAAAATTGAATATCTTATGTTACACACCTTAAAAAGCATATAGGGGGTCCCAGTTTCTATCTGGGATGTCAACACCTCACTCCAGAGGCTCCGAGCCTCAACAACTTTCTTTGCCTTCCCCTAAATATATGATAATAGCAAAAAGGCCAATCAGATTTCTGCAGTTAAAGAAACATATTATAAAAACATAAGACTTTGGACAAGAAGGTTGAATTAAAATTACCTCTCTTTCATAGTGGGTGTAAAGTCTCTCGAATTCCGGCCCCCAACAATCTGCTAGTCCTGGAGCCTCATTAGGACAAAATAATGACCATTGCCCATTAGTTTGGACTCTTTCCATAAAGAGATCTGGAACCCAAAGAGCATAAAATAAATCTCGAGCACGGTGCTCTTCCTGCAACAGACGGATAATTGATGTTAACATAACACACTCGGTACAGCATAATGATATAACACTCTTAAAAAAACCTTAAGTGCCAATAACAAATGAGGATATAGCAACCTAATAGCAAGACAACATTGCAAGTGACAGCCAAATTTTGTCACTATACCTTTCCATGGTTTTTCCGAAGCTCGAGAAACTCAAATATATCAGCATGCCATGGCTCCAAGTACACAGCAAAAGCACCTACAGGCATGACAAGTAATATTTTTAAGAAAATAATGTCAAATTTATTATGCAAATAAACAATGATGTGAGGACTTACCCTTTCTCTTGCCACCTCCTTGATCAACATAACGAGCAGTATCATTGAACACCCGCAGCATTGGGACAATACCATTAGATGTCCCATTTGTGCCACGAATATAGCTGCCTGTTGCACGAATATTATGAACTGAGACACCGATACCTCCAGCTGATTTGCTGATAACAGCACACTCCTTCAAAGTATCATATATTCCTTCAATACTATCATCTTTCATGCAAATCAAGAAGCAGCTGCTTAACTGTCAAAAAGCATCAAGGAAACCACATCAATATATGTTTAGCACAGAAATTGTAGGGAAAAGTCTGATTCATCATCTATGTTAATAAAGCATACCTGGGGCCTTGGTGTTCCAGCATTGAAAAGTGTGGGAGACGCATGGGTGAACCATCGTTGAGACATCAAATGGTATGTTTTGAGAACAGAATCAATATCATCTTTGTGAATTCCAACAGCAACCCTCATCAACATATGCTGAGGCCTTTCTACAACCGTCCCTTGGACCTTCAAGAGGTAGGACCTCTCAAGGGTTTTGAAGCCAAAGTAATCATAGTCAAAATCTCGATCATAGATTATCTCACTGTCCAAACGAGCAGCATTCTGCAACAAGAAAGTCAACTCAGTGAGTTTTAATTTTATGCAAACATTGTTCAGAGACAATTTTGAAAGAAACATTAAAAGAAAACAAAATCACAAGATTTCAGCATGGTATAACCAAATGCAGTGCATAATATTCAACAGGCAAAATATGAGTTTATTCTCATCAAAATGCAGTGCATAATTAACATGGTTAAAACATCTATAGAACAATAAACAATTGACAAAAATAAAATAAAATTATACCTGCATGATGATCTCATAAACATCATCAGCAATCAGAGGAGCCTTCAGTCCAGATCTCTCATTGAAATGGTAATACATGTCCTTGATCCTGCAATTACCAATCAACTAATAGGTATAAACAACCGTTTCACTTTAAGTTTAGCACTTCAATCAACAAACTCACTGATTAAGAACAAAAACAAGGAAGCGCTTACGTTTCCGAAAAGGATTTCTTAGTATTCTTGTGTAGATTCGAAACAACAATTCTCGCAGCCAACTGCATCAAACAAATTTTCACGCATAAATGAATCACACGGAAGGAGATCAAAATCAAACCTTTCTATCACCATTTTAAGCAAAGAACTCAACGTTCTAAACAACATCTAAAATTAAATAGACTCCCTCATTAGGAGGTGGAAAAAAACCCTCCAAAATTTTTAAAAAATAATCATAAATCTTCCTTAAAAAGCCTCGAAGACCTTCGTAAAATTCACAAAAGAAAATAATAAACAATATCTATCTCAAAAATAAAACTTAAACCCAGTACCAAACACTACTAATCAAGACCAAACAAACTAATTTAAAACCAAAACCAATTACAAAAACAAAGAAGGAATACTCACGCAAGCGTAATCAGGGTGGTTAGTAGTCATAGCAGCGGCGGTTTCCGCAGCCAACTCATCGAGTTGACTCGTGGTGACGCCCTTGTAGACGCCAGCACAGACCTTCTGGGAGACCAGCACCGGGTCACAGTGGTCGATACTCAGCCCATAACTGAGCTTCTTCAACCTCGCAGTAATCTTATCGAAATGCACCGTCTCTTGCCGCCCATCTCGTTTCACAACGTACATTTTCAGAGAGGAATTTTATCAAACAAGCGGTGGGTAGGTTGAGGAATGTGATAGAGAGGTAGAGAGACGAAGGCTCTTCTTAAATAGGAGAAATGTTTAGAGAGCTTTAAATTTTGAAAAGGGTATTAGGGTTTTGAATTTTATTTTTTTTTGTTTTTTTGTTTTTTGTTTTTTTTGGGTTTTGTTTTGTTTGTAAACGGTGAGTTTGTTTGATTTGGGGGGTTTTTTGATTTTTTTAAGGGATTTGAAATTTTCGCGCCAAATTTGTGGAGGGAGAGGACAGAGGAGCGTGTTTGCGAAGCTTTTTGTGTTTTATTGTGGCGGGTGAGATTCAAGATAGGGTTGGTGCCTTGGTGCTGTGTTCTGGCAGT